ATAATGTGTTCAAATTCACATTTAGTGAGAATTAAACCTAACACTTCTCACATAAAAGTGAAGAGTACTTTTTAAAGTGCCAAAAAAATGAAATTGATGTATAAAATTTGGTGTATAAACACAGAATTAGTAATTGCAAATGCAAAAGCAAAAGCATAAACGTAAATTCGTGTTCCGGTTAGCTGGCGGCAACATTGCCTCCACGAGCTCTTCATTGCCTAACAGACTATCTCTCTCTCTCCAAATCTGAGGGGCTCCATTGGGTTTACTAAAACAGAAAGAAACCAATCCCATTGCAATTCCACACGGTACGTTTCTTGTTTCTGAACCGCTCGCTTACTTTTCCATTGCTTTTTTCTGCTACTGCATCTCTGTGATCGATGGCTCTTGCGACCAGATCCGCTGAATTGGGCTCCTTTTTTTTTTCTTGGGTATTCTGGGATCTGATTGTGGGTTAGATTAGATCTATCTTGGAATTTGATTGCTTTTTGTGTGGTTGATCTGGAATGTCTGTGGGTCTGTATGTAGTTGATTTGCAATTTTGTTGTGGATTTGAATCAAGGTGACTACTTTTTTGTATATTTATGTTTTTGAAAAAATGGGCTTTACCCAAAAGAATTGATACATTGCTGTTTTGGTAGTTCCATAGTTCAGTGAATTGTGAGTCCTGATGGTTTTCAGTTTCTATCTCACTGAATAGAGAAATGGGAATGCACTAGATGATTTGATTGTATTTTCGAATCCTGGCACGAAAAGCAGCAGGACCCATCTCTGTGTTTCCATTGAATGACTTAACTGCTCAGTAAGTTTGAACTCGAGGAGAGGCAAGCGATATGTGATTGAATTACAGACTCCTTATCTTTGTGATCGGATGTTTAGTCTTTTTGTAAGGCAGACAATGTTATTATATCAGTTTGTTTGGAGCTTTTATACAAGCATGATTGTGATTTTTAAGTTGAGTTGTTTTATATTATAAACATATGTATAATGGAAATGAGTATTTATTATTTTTGGCATCAATGTGTTGAATCATACTTGAAATTAAACAGTTTTAATTTATTGCAGAATTTCAGTTTTCTTATTTGTTTCAGTTTTTTCTTTTTAGAGTATTTTGTTCCTAAAGCAGGTGAAACCGTCTGGCTTCATATGGATGTAGATGGATGCCTTTTTGGAGGCTGAGGGGTAAAGACTCTACAGTGGCTGGTTGAACGGAGTATATAAACAAATGGCTCCCACTAGCAAAGCTGATAAGAAGGCAGGAGATGTAGCTGCATGGATGTTCAATGTTGTAACTTCTGTTGGGATTATAATTGTCAATAAAGCTCTGATGGCTACATATGGCTTCAGTTTTGGTAAATTATTCTTCTTGCTTTTTAATGATTGATTTGATTTGAGTCGGGTTTGGGTTGTTTCTGATATGAGTTCAGGTTTTGGACAGCTATATCGTTTGAAAACTATAGCTTAGGTTAAAGTAAAACCTTTGTTGCATTTCTTCTGCAAACTTTATTAAAATTAGTAAGAAAATGAACCCGGCATTGTTCCCTATTGGACTTCAAACTATGATGGTTATAGAGCCAAGTGACAAACATGTTACCATGGCTTTTCTTGTTGCACAAATAAGTGGCCAGATTACAAAGTAATTTTGTGCATCAAGATTTCCAGGAAATTTGACTGCATGTACAAAAGTCTTGTGATGTATGTTTTCTGAGTGTCATGTCATAAATGCTTTCATATTTTTTTTGTTTAAGATTTCATACTAATTATGAGTTAATCTCTTGAGACCGAAGTTGTAAGTCAACAGTTAACACTCATGATAACAGAGCGTTGGAAGTAGATAGAATATTGGGGAGCGTTACGGGTTGAGTGGTAGGACTAGAAAGGGCAAGGGGAGCATAGGAAATATCATGTGCAAGGCAGATAATGACCCTACTATTTGATTGTCTTTTGTTAGTAGCCGATCAGTTCTGTTATGACATAAGGTGTAGTGAATACTAAGTATCACTCACAATATCCAATATTTTACCTGGAGAAAAGTTGTAGCTAGATTTAATTTTCAGCTAACCTTGAGACAGTAATGGTTGTGGGGAAAAGTAGGGAGTAATGGCATTTTTGCATTTTTGACCCTTGAATTCATTAATATATTCATTTTTTATTTCATTGATACGCATTTAGAAATCTTCTATAACCTTAAACTTTCTTTATCAATTGGTTGTTTTTCTGTTTACTTGTTTATAGGAGATATGAATCTAGAAAACTTGTATAGCCATAAGCATGCTATTTATAACTTGTATTTATATGAATCTAAATTGAAACAATTTGCAGCTACAACATTAACTGGTTTGCATTTTGCTACAACAACTTTGATGACGCTTGTTCTAAGGTGGCTGGGATACATTCAACCCTCGCATCTACCTGTCTCTGAGCTTCTAAAATTTATGGTCTTTGCTAACTTCTCTATTGTTGGAATGAACGTGAGTCTAATGTGGAACTCAGTGGGATTTTATCAGGTATAGCTAGGGTTTTGATGCACTTTGGGTTTAGCTACTAAATAATGCAATATATTTGGGAGTTACATTTCTCTAATATAATTGACAGATAGCAAAGCTGAGTATGATCCCCGTGTCATGTTTACTGGAAGTTGTTCTCGACAAGATCCGTTACTCAAGAGATACAAAGTTGAGCATAGGAATTGTTCTCTTGGGAGTTGGTGTTTGCACCGTCACTGATGTGAGTGTCAATGCCAAAGGCTTCATTGCTGCCTTCATAGCTGTATGGAGCACTTCGCTCCAACAGTATGTAAGTTCTCCATTCCTCGGCACAAGCTGCAATTTTTCAAGCTCTTAAATTTTCATATTTGCTTATCTAAAAGTTATATGAATTTTTAATTGCAGTATGTGCACTTTCTTCAACGGAAATATTCACTCGGTTCTTTCAGTCTGTTGGGACATACTGCTCCGGCCCAGGCTGGATCTCTTCTGTTACTTGGCCCCTTCCTTGACTATTGGCTGACAAACAAGAGGGTTGATGCCTATGACTATAACTTTGGATCTCTGGTAAGTGTAATCCAATTTATTATTGTTTTGTGATTACCATAATCATCTTAAGCTGACTGTACCCAGACTCAACCTTAGCATTACAAGCAACAACGACAACAAAACCTTTTCCCACTAAGTGGGGTCGGCTAACCTTAGCATTACAAGCATCATTACAAATCTACATTGTAATAATGTTAATGTTGTGATTAACCAGTATAAACACCGCTAATATTATTTCTTTTGTTTTTGGTTAACACCTGTAACTTAATTCCTACTTATAGAAGAACATCATATGCACTTACAATGTTAATGTTGTGATTAACCAGTATAAACACCGCTAATATTATTTCTTTTGTTTTTGGTTAACACCTGTAACTTAATTCCTACTTATAGAAGAACATCATATGCACCAGTATGAACAGGAGAGGTTGTCATCGCCATGCTAATGATTCAACTCTTCTTTTGTTAATGATTTTTATTATTTGATAATTGATAGTGCATTAATATGCATTTTACAGCTGAAATCCAGCATCGAGCTACACAGGCATTGGTAGCATTTCCATGTTTTCTTCTGCACCTCAGTCATGATGGGAATATTTGAATTAGTAACATAAGCTTGAAAAACTTTTAGCATATGATATTGTTAATATAGAGCTTTGCTTACTTTAATCTGTACAATTTCAAAGTGATTAACTTATTCATTTGTCTTTGAGTTTTAAGATGTTTCGATTTTACAGAAAGGTCGTTCACAGTTTTTTCTGAATCATTGTGTCCGCAGATGTTTATAATTCTCTCATGCACAATCGCAGTAGGCACCAATCTCAGCCAGTTCATCTGCATTGGAAGATTTACCGCTGTGTCCTTCCAAGTACTGGGCCATATGAAGACAATTCTTGTTTTGATCATGGGGTTCTTTTTCTTTGGGAAGGAGGGTCTGAATCTGCATGTTGTTTTGGGAATGATCATAGCTGTGGTTGGGATGATTTGGTATGGAAATGCCTCGTCTAAGCCCGGTGGAAAGGAGCGTTGGAGCCACTCTCTCCCTACGAGCAGGCAACAAAAACACGGTGGTTTTCCTGAATCTACTGAACATGATGGAAAAGTTTAAATTCATTCTGTTTAAAAGTAGAAATGGAAGATTTCAGGAAATTCTTAAATGATTTGAGGCTAGAAACCAAAACTTCTTCTGATTATTTATCCTCGTAATTTCTATTTCTTGCCCTCCTATTCAGCCCCATTGGGGGAATGGAATGGATACATCAAGATGGGGGAAAACTCTGCCAAACTTCAATTTTTTTTGTTTACATCATCATAATCATAGTAATTATTTTTCTGGCTCTATATTTTCAGCTTTCTTTTGAATCATAAGGTACCCTGAGTGCTTATCGGATTATTGTTCATTCTTAACCATGTCAGTAAGCGTGTATAAGATACTGTAACTGTAACTTTTCGGATTATCAGCGGTTCCCTTGAGTTGAGACCTCGCGGACATGCTTAAGAGCTTACCGGAAGTAGCCTATAGTCAAGGGCTGAGCACCGGCTGCTTCTCGTAGCAGCAAAGCAAGCCTGTCAGCTGCTTTTGAAAACTGCTGTTAAGACACCCTAAACTAGTAAATGAGCATCGACCTTCCACACCGCAATCCCTGTCGCAGCTTAACGGCCATTGGAAAGCAACTTCCAGTAAGCTCTTTTCAATGATCTCAGGGACACTAACATTGAAATACGCACTTACATGGTATTTTGCCTCAATTTAGTTGCCCCTACCCTACACCCCTCAACGAAAATGGTTGTGTCGAGCGAAAGGCTTTTTCAGACTCAAGTTAAAACATTCGCCTTTGCACCCGAGGTTCCGTGTTAAAAGCTCTAAGATGAAGACTTGGATAACAGTTTAAACACAAGATAGGGCTCAGTCAGCTTGTCTGAACTCTCATTTACACAAATCCCTTTCCATTAGGGGCTGTAACGTCTCGTCGGAAAAGAAAATTTTGACAATATAGACACCTTCATATCCACAAGAACAAAATGAACATCTACTTACCTGCAAACTCGTATCTTTTTAAAAGGAACAAAGATGCAAGTATCTGTTGTGTATATGTCTCACATGAAAAAAATTATACACTGGAAGAAGCTAATCGTTATCATATGGAAATACTACAACCCAGTTCTTTTGCGGCAGTATCCAGAAATTTAATATGCATTCCAGTCGCGAGTCTGCTATGTGCTTCCCATGTCAAGCACTTTTCAATATCAGCTTGCCAGTCAATGACATCTAAGTTAAAATACTTATACGACGGACCATGGATACCATTTATCTCCACCGGATTAGGGTTGGGTCTTATTGAACTGGCTTGCAAGATATCGCGGAGAACTGATGTGCTCAGAGCACGAACATGTGCACTAGGATGAGAAAGGCAGCGGATGGTAGCTGGCAGACGACACTGCATTTATCGAAACAGATGGATCACATAACTAATTGTTTCTCTTAAACATTAGAATGAAATAATTCTCAAATGTCCTAGGAACATAACAGTGATTGTATGACTAGGGGTGGGTACTTACCTTTAACAGGTTTGAAAGGCCATCAGAGACCGCCAGCCCAGATTCTCCCCACTCTAGCATAGGCTGAATTGCTCTAGCTGTTGCTTCCAGTAGCTGCCCATTTATAAACAGATTGATGCATCAAGACATTGAAGGTTAACGAAATTGAAAATTTACATGGACTCACTCTAGGCTATGTGGAAAACAGGTAAAGAGCACGAGATAACTATGAAGATAGTATCAGACACATATAGTTGTAAATGAGGATCCAAAATGGATGAGTAACAATATTAGGGGATAACCAATGAAGATACTGGTATTAGAGAACACCTAGAGTCAAATTATCCCAAGTGAAGCTAAAATGTAGAAGCGTTGCACAAGATGACCCAGTAATATGTCAGCTTTTCATGCTACAAGAAAGAGATTTGATTCTAAGTTTACGAAGCCCAAAAACTTGAGGGCAGCCCAGAGTTGAAACTGACAGAAGATATGATTATCAAAGAAGAAAATGAGGTTATATGGGAGAAAATGGTGAAAGAAATTCACTTGCCAAACCCAATTTCTTTGGAATCTTGGGTCTAGCTTCACCAAGTTCAGATTATCAATTTGTTTCTCTTTTAATGTTTTGAGCCTTCGGCAATCTTATGTACTTATAACGAATATACAACTCAAAAAAGCTTATATGAGATAAGGACACTAGTTGAGGATGGTTTAAGTTTTGAAATGTAAGGATGGGAGATCACGTGACTGCCTGGTGCTGAAATCCACCTTCAGTTCGGATGTGCAGTGTTCATACAGTTTCCAAAAAGAAAAGATAAAAAGATACTAAAATTCATGTCTTAGATTAGTTAACACAAGTCATAGGCCACAAACATCAATGTAGTCGCGTGTTTACCTCCAGTTGAGGTAAGGTGCAAGCTTCTCCATCAACAAGCATCCCATCGGTGGCACGCAAAAGTAGATCTGAGGCACTTGACAAAATTACCAATGACTCTGGGCTATCATGAATTCTCATCAACTCCACAATCAATTTCACAATCCGCTGGTTGATTCGCCACATCTTCTGACCTTGATCATCATCTTTGGCAATCCAAGGCTGCAGTTCCCTCTCCGCCTGAAAAGAGTACAAGGTCATGAAACCAACTAAACCAATGAAGCCACCACAGAACTAATAATGGAGAAATGGTAATCCAACTGATTACGACTATACCAGGAAAATAATGCCAAATAAGAAAGCCACTGTTTTGACACCAGCCAAGAACAACTCTTCCAAAATCAGGTATTGAAAACAAATTAACAAGAAAACAATGTTTTTGGGCTTCGTTACTTTGCAATAAAGGATCTAGTTTTCAGTATATATCAATGAACTCGTACATGGTCTCACCTGAAAAAATAAATAGAAAATCATGTAGTGTTCAAGTGAGACAAAGTTCAGACCTGAAGAACGATTGCTGTGGCTGCTTTTTTTGGTGTTGCTGACACAACATTGCATAATGCATCAACGACCTAAAGTTAGGAAAATGAAATAAAAATTACATGTCAAACATTATATGTAACGGAAAAATGGCAACAATATATCAAATAAAGTGTAGTACAAATGCATCTAATGAAATTACTGATTCAGAGCAGAATATAGAAACACGGAACCTGCTAATAATATTGGAGAAGATTATCATGATGGTAATGCAAAGTGACACAAGAAATATAATATTACCTGCCGCCATCCTTGTTGAGCAGAAGTGCTTTCTGCAGAAGGTTGAGTTTCAGGAGCTGCAATTAACTTGTACCACAACAGTGAGACAACCGAGAAACAGAGCTCTTGTTTCTCTGCGAGTACTGATCTAAGAAGAACCTGTGCACTGCAATTAAATCCTATATGCCTGTCCATGGTAAGAAAGTTGGCCAAATCCGAAGCATCTAATGGGAAACTTGCAACACCTTTACCAAAGGTATTTCCAGACCCCTCATTTGAACGTGACACACCAACAGATTTCTGTTTAGATTCTGAATGTGACAAATCCTCACAATGCAAGGCAGATGGCTGCCCGACAATAGTGCATCTACTGTTTCCACCTTGAGTGAGTTTTCTGCCTTCAAAACACACAAGGGAATCCCTCCAAATTGGAACTTGCATTAAGCGTGCTTCCAACGGTTCAGCCTTGTTAACAATAGATGCAACAGCCTTGCTGTGGAAATCAATAAGGTTGTACAGTGATGATGCCCTGGAGCAAATTTCAGTGTCCCACTTACAGCGCATTAAGACAGACAGCGCATGCATGCAAGCTTTCGACCATCTAAATAACTCAGAAACATGAGCAGCAACCATAGCTGCTGCAACTATCTCATTTGAACTGTAACTCCACGAAGTGCCAATTGTAGATGGCTTCAGCAAAAAAAGTGCTTCCAAGATTGATAATATTCTGCGTGTGTGACAAACTGCCGAGTCTACACTACTTCGAAACTCAGTAGTGCATACATTTACTTTGGCAGGCTTCGCTACATTTTTTGCATTTTTAGAGTGACTATGATTAATCCCCTTTGAAATCAAAGGGAACAACTGAAGCTCACATGCAAGAGCACAAACAGCAGCCAGAACATAAGAATCAAATGCTGCTACTGGCCCTTGTTTTTTGGTCATTTTAGTTCTGTCTCTCTGCATACCAGACATCTTTTCTGATTCTTCAATGCTCTCATCTGGTGGGAAGCTTTCATCAACTCTTGCTTTCTTGCTACCATTGGACTGGGCTTCATGACTGACGCATACAGTTAACACAACAAAAAGTAGACGTGAAGCAAGCTCTACTGAGGCACATGATTCTAAGAATAGTGAATGAACCATTGTACGCAGCTCTGCAACAGCCAGGTTTTTTGAGGCTGGCCCCATACCAAAAAGGTACCTTGTTTTCCGGTTTTGCTCTCTAGAGGACTCGGACGGAAATGTTCTCTGAAGAATCGCTTCAACAGTGGCAACAAATATCTTCATAAGACATGCCTCAGAAGGACTTCCACGAGGAAGATACTCCAAGACCTTGAGGAGCGGTATATACAGATTCCATGATAAAATCGGAGGTTGTAATGGAGTGGCAACAATAATCTCAGGAAGGTCAACTGCAGAGGAACTTAAAGGAATGAGGCCGTAGGCAGCTTCCCATATGGTACAAATTCTCCATTCAACCTCAGGCCCATGGGCACAGAGCATAGAAGCAATCCCTTGGGCAGTAGCTTCAATTGTTGCTTCCGCAGCAGGAAGTTCGATCTGATCAATAGTATTTTTGAGGTAGTATTTAGGTTCAATTAGTACTTATTCGTTGAACAAAAAATAAAAGCGCCAACAAAAAAGAAACTAGATCAAAGTGCATTTTAGCAGCTGAAGTATAAAAACCTGAATACAAAAAGTTATTAACTGGTACCTGTTTCTTGTAGCTTGAGATGTAACCACCCAAAGGTTCATGCTGAACTTCAACTCCATCAACTTGTCTTAGTGGAGGGAAAAGCAATGCAGGCTGTGAGAGTATTCGGAAAAGTAAAGCTGCTGCAGCATCAGCTGCTATACCTGCTCGCATGGACATTGCAGTCCCAATTGCCCGCAAGAAATGTAAATGCATCCAGTTCCTAGGAAGCTGCATGAATAAAAGAAAAAAATGCAATTAGCCAAAAGTGCTGCATCCATCAGTTTTCAGAGCTGCTACAAATCAAATACTTTCCACTAAAAGAGGACGAGAGAGGGGGACAGCTTATGGAATTTTCAGCTTATTAGTGGACTGCTGATCTAAAAGCTTGGATATATTTACATTTATCTACGCAACAAGGCATGCATTAAAAGATTAAAAATTGATTACTCTATTTTATTCAACTGTACATGTTACACAAGTACATCAACCTATCTCTTGAAGTATGTGAAAGTGCAAGATTTGGAAAACGGCATGTCCCAGAATCTTAAGCTGTTTAGAAGTGGCTAATGATATGCAAAGGTGCACTTTTCCTTGTCATGCATCTGTTATCACCAAAGCAGTAAAAGCCCCTATCTCACCACTAATTCCATCAGAGTGCATTAATTACCCTATATGAGGGAAGCATAAGATCCTAAAGTTGTCTAACTGGGCAATAGAGCAGAAAGAAAGTGAATCATAGGATCAATGTCACCCTTGCAAGTGTGATGGCCATGTCCCGCCATTAGTAAAGAATCATGGGGTGTGTGAAAATCACCACCCAAACTTAAAAACGAAGCTTTCAGCCTTTAACATATGTAATGAACGCATAACTATGACAATTTCAAGGATGGATTAAAACCAGTAAAAAGACCACTCGCCCACTCCAAATAGATACTCCAAAACAAGCACAAAGTTGCCACCCCACAAACTTGCAAAGAATATATGTTTCTGAAACTTCCATGCCAGCTAGGAAGCAGATAAAAAGAGTGAAAGAAGCAAAGCCCATGACACTACAAAACCGATATGAAAATTGATAAGAGTCCTATCAGACAATGTAGTAAATGGCTTCCCCCTATTTTTTGTCATTATGCATGTGGTGTCAATCAAAATAATATACTCCCACTTAATTAGGTTTTTAACAGTCAACAAAAAACCTCAGAGGGAACTCACTAGATCTGCTTCTGCAGCACCTACCAGTTAACAGGAAGGATGCCTTTCACATCGTGACTTCACATAATGTTTCTGAAGGTGATGTTCTGGGTATATTAAATGTCAATAAGGTTGAATGATTGTTTCTTTATCAGAGCTTAAAAAATGTATCCTTTTTACATGATTGTAAAAATGACACATCAATTGATTTTAGATTTTGAACCAAACTATGATAAATCAGGGATAAATTGTAAGTGGGCTGTTTAAATAATCACCAATTTTCAGAATCAGGTAAGAAACAAGACTATTGTATATGTATACTGGAATGGGGATTACTTGATCGCATGTACTCAAGAAGAGACCAGTGAAAGATCTTTCAAATAACAGAAGTATCAATAATTCTGTTCCTCACCAGCTAATGCTAGCGGAAGTTAGTTATAACTGAGAGGAGAAAACCATTTTAAAAGATATTCTTGCAGAACAATGACAATTTCACATTTACTAATTGATTGCTATTTCCGATCGAGAGAAATTTGTCCATCATAAAGTATGCCATACATGAGATGCCAAAAAAATTGTTGCTGAAAAAATGATGATAGTATCTCTTCAAATCAAGCTTGATATTGATCACCAGCATAGCATCAGATAATATTTAAATATTTGCAATCACTAGTGTACAGCTTACCCTTATGCCAGATGCATAATCCTCAGCAGCACGAAGTAGTTCCACAAGCTGTACAGCCGCATCAAGTGCATCAGGAGCCCAGGATGGTGGTGCTTCTAGAAGTCCAAGAAGAAGTCTTTGGGTGGCACTTGGAGTAGCAATGGCATAATACCTATTGCATGGTGTAAGAAATGAATAAATATTAGCAAAACTCGGTCAGGTACACAGAGCAACTCAGATTCTTTTCCTTTTGTAGTGGCTCGAGAGATGGAAGTTTGAAGATTTACCTATGAAATAAACGTGCATAAGGCTCAAGAGCTGGTAGCCCTGCCACTAGGTGTTCATCCAAAGCTGTAGTTGGAGGAGGAAGAAGAAGTGCAGGGACAGCGACTGCTGTCAAAGTAGCAGTCTCGTAGCGAGCAACTTCCTCGTCACAAACACTTAATATAACTCCAGCACCGTTTGCAACAGCCCACCTTGGAGTTGATGGCATGAGCTGTGGATGTTTTCCAGATCCACGAGAAGAAGCTAAGAAAGAGGAGAAAATAGAAAAAGAAAATGAAAGTCATTCGTAGTGGACTATATAATAAAAATATATAGGATTTTTAGGATATCTCAATGCTATTTTGCTTTACATTCCACCTGAATGTTATGCATACACTGCATGCAGTCAGACTCTATGTTACATGTTAACTGATTCTTGCAGAAAAAAATTCATTTAATGTATGGCGCTCAAAAACAATCTAATAAATATAGCAGCAACATTGCATTCTATACTAGTGAAGGAAGATTTAACTAACCAGTTGATGGTGGCTTGAGTTCTCCAGCAGCATATTTTCCCATAACCCCACTGCACCTGTAAAGCACACATAGGTTTTTAAATTACATGAAATTGAATAAGAAAAGTAGCAGCAAGATGAAATGATTTGCTTAACATTTGATAGCTTTTAAACTTTCTTTTGAAATTGCGAACAATGAGTAGCACGAAACTGCTATTGAACTAATGAAGAACTTATCTCTAACATAAAAACATAAATAGTGGACCACAAGGAATGTTCCAACCTCCTTCAGAGCTTAATCTTCTACAGGTCTACCCTTCTATCATTTACATGCACGGACATAGAATTAAGAAATACAATAATTAAGAATGGAATACAGAAATATAGGGTATCAAAACAGACTTTCCTTTCCTGTTCTCATATTTTTCCCTTCATTTTAAAAATCAATTCGGATGTACTCATCACTTGAGATATTTGTTTTATACCAAAATTTTTGGAATCACATGATTTTGTTCGTGTTCATCAGTTACAATTACCTTTCATCACATATAGTAGTGCAGAAAGTACCAACAGTTGGCCGTGCTTACCAATAGTAGCAAAAGCATGGTTGCCCAATAGTTAACCATTATCTTATGACATCATTGCTACACTATTGCTCTTAATTATTTAAAACGAGTGGTGCATGAGTATTATTACCAAAGCATGTGAGAGGGATTTTCAAATGATGACTACTTGGACATAGTCATTTGGAAATCCTACTTACATACCTTCGTAATGCTCATGTTGTGCATTTCTAATCCCTCCCATCTAACTTCTTGTGATCCATGTCTTCCTTACTTTGCCTAAATCCCTTAGGAATTTAAAAGTCCCTCACCCAAATATACCCATAGTGAATGTGACAAAAGCGCATGGTTCAGGGTTAAAAAGTAGATGCAATGCTAAGACAATAATAACAGAGGTTCACATGATGAACTTACTGAATACAAACATTAAATCTCATAATTGCACCGAACCCTAATAACCCATTTCCTTTCTGTAAATGCACTCGTCTAAAAAGCTTTATGAGACCAGTGTGAAGATTAAAGTCCTCCAACTAAACCTAAAACATTCAAATTTAAGCTACAAGATATTATTTCATTTTGTTGACAAAAAAGATTGCTAACTGTCAGGCCGTCATAAGTGTTGTCTACCCAAGTTAGAAAATTAAATTAACAGACTTTGGAAGCTTAAAAATCCTAGCTTTTCTTTAGTGGAGTTATCTATTTAAGAAATTCCTGGAGGGATGAGAACAACCTGTTACCATGAAAATTGCTACAAACACCCACCAAACCCATGGGGCAAGAAAATGATTTTGAATAGTTCACGTGTTTACTATCTCATTGGTCAATGTACCATTTGAACAATAAAAAACATTTTTAGATGAAGTGCTGCTTAATAGGCAATATGTACAAGCAAACCTCTGCTGCTTACTGTTTTACTTTGATTGGAGTGGGTTCTGCTTTGCGCATATACACATGACTTGAAATCAACACCACAAAATTACGACTTTCAACAAAAATAACAGATACTCAATCAAACTACGCACTCACCAGCGGAAGTAATCACTTCTGATGCCTAGAGGTGCAGCAAGCAATATATCAGTAATCCAAGGAGACAATGGCCTAATGGGTTTCTTCTCTTGTTGTACCAAAGGTAAATGGCTGGATTCACCATCAACATTGTCACTTGTTGTGGCATGGCTTCCACTGCTGCTTCTTTCTGTTTCATTATTCTGTTGTTCCGCCTTGTATATAGGGCGATTGTAATGAGTTAAAATTCGCAAAATCTCCCCACATGCCAAAGCCCACTGCTCAGAATACTCCTGTGAAAAATGGGAAGATACAAATAAGGAAATAATTAAATTAACAATACTTCTGAATTTTCTGCTACATAGAAAACATTCCTGTTCCATCAAGAAAGAAAGTCACGGTATTCGATTGAACTGAAAAATGAAAACTCTTAATCTGATATGTTATCACCTCACTGCTTGGGCAGACCAATGATATGAACGAAGCAAATGGAGGGCCACTGCTCTTATAGGCCAGGGTACCATCAATGATGCATGAAATAATTGGAAGGATAACAGCATGCCCATGCTCAGGGTGATGAAGAACAAACATAGCTGGAATATGTCCAAGTAGTAAAGCAGTCATTATGCAACCACAAAATGGCATAAGCTGCAAGTTCTAATCAATCATGTAATAATTAACAGGGTAGAGTATGAATACCTAGAACATCATCAAAGAGACGCTTCACCTCTGATGGATAACGGTTGCGGATCAGCTGTCAGCAGACAATATATTAGCACATACAAGGCAGACTGCACAAAGACAATGACCATGACATAAACACAAAGAGCTTACTTCGGCAACATCCTCAGGAAACTGTTCTGATGTAAACTGACCAAAGTAGTCCACATATGCAGTAATTTCTGCCTACAGGAAGGAAGAAGCGAGGAAAGCATTTTTTCAGTTCTTGTCGGAGGTTTAGAGGCAGAATATAGCAAAAAAAAATCTCCGGAAAAAGAAAGAAATTGATCTTCCAATCACTGATTAGTTGTCATGAGTCTATAGTCTATACCTAGGGCCGACTTTATTACTTTTATATTGTGTAGCAAGTTATAGACTATATCTGTTAGAACATCTCCAAGGGATTACGCATAATTATGAGGCAAAGTCATCCTTTAACAAACTTGGTGGCATTATGCCTCCCCCACATAAATACCTCATCAGAAAGTTCATCACCCAAAGGATGAGACAGTACAAATTTTGGCAACCATCACTTATCTTTAAATTTTCGTTAAAAAAAAAATAAATTGTCATTCCTAATGTATTTTTTTTACACAAATTGTGTGGTATTGACCTCATGACAACAGGAATCAACATGAAAAGGAGGTCACATGACAAGTTTGGGTCGGATCCCCAATATTTTCACCTTTTACTAGAGAATAAATCAAAGAAATAATGGAGTTGGATTGCTAAGACCCTCCCATGATAAGTTTTCCTAAGTCTATAAGGAATTATAGTCTTAGAGGATTAAATTGTTTTCCCAATTGGAGTTGTTTACCCAATTGGAGTTAGTTTTTCAATTGGAGTAGGATCCATAACTAGATTCCAATTAGGATTAATAATCCTTATTGAAGAAGACCTTTATTATGTCTATATAAAGGAGCTATTGTACTAGTTCTAAATTTAAGGGAGCAAACCACTCAAGGGATTAGAGTGAGAGAATATTGTAAAGTGTGTGCGAGAGAAAAGAAAAGAGAGTGTGTATTTCTTGTTCTTGTTCTTTCAGGTTTTTTGTCAAGTCCTAGTTCTAGAGATTTGGCAAGATTATTGGTTGTACTCATTATTGATATAATGAAAGATTGTTGTTGCTGTCCCGTGGACATAGGCACATATTGCCGAACCACGTAAATTCTTGGTGTTATTTATCTTGGTTATTTGTTTTTCGATTTCCAGAGTTTGTTCTATTTTTCCCATTCTTAAACGCGATATTCTCAATACCCTCCAGATAATACATCATGACAATGGTATATGAATTACTAAACTAAACTCTTAGCAACATTATTTCAGGGGGAGAAAACAGATTGTCTCTTTGGGTGCAGTACAATCAATAGATGCTGATTATAAAGGTTCGCTTGTAGTCTTAGATTCTAGGTCTCCTATCTAAATCAACTGAAATATGAGCCTTCAAAAACTAGTAGTCCTAACTCTGGCTTCAACTAAAACACCTAGCTCAAATATTCACCCCTATTTGAGAACTGTTCTGAGCAATATATATCATAAGTACATCAGAGGTTACCTATGAAATCACACTAAACTTGAAATTCTTTTAGGGTACATTTGAGTGATGGACTTCCAAATTCGAGAGGGAATTTAGGCAAAATGAAGAAGAAATGGATCACAAAAAGTTAGACAGGACATAGGAGGAATCAGAAAATGCACCACGTGAGCATTTCAAAGGTGTGAAAGGAATTTGTAAAGACTCCTTCAGAGTAGTCATTTGCAATCCCTCTCACATGCCTTTTGTAATGCTCATGTGTGCATTTCGTATCCCTCCTTAGCTCCAAAAGTAAAGCCACCAAACTGGATATATATTAAGAAGACAATTCAGAGTAGTAGTCAACATGGACACTCGCATAGCAACAGAGCATGAGAGGTTTCAAACCCAAGACCTCTAGGAACCAGTACCATAGTGGATGACCCTTAAATTTCAAGAGACATGTCAAGCTAGCAATACAAATATAGACACTGACAGATATAATATAATTATGCAAAAGATTAGGAATAAAATTTGCATTCACCTTCCGTCGTAGGTTGTCCGGCGGGGGCGGCCCAAACAATGAGGAGAACTGGAGCCGATCAAACCATCTTTCAGATGTAGCAGCCATAGAAGCTTAATCTCCCAGATAACCCTTAATCCAGCGTCAACGCCAACTTTGCAACGAAAACAAACAACACACAAGAAAGCCCACAAAGCTTTCCCTTCCACCCGCTACCAATCAAGAATCAAAATTTTGTAGTTTAACATCCCAGCATAAAATTACTTCACCAATCTCCCACAATTAAACAATAAAGCTGGTGCTACCCAAATAATTAATCTGAAAAAGTGGGTAATCCAACCCTCTGTTCTTCACAATCCAAGTCTCTGCCTCTCACAAAATCTTCAAAACTTTCAAATCTTGGTAACTTAATGCCACATTACTGCAATCTGATTGCTGTGAAAGCAGGATACAGCATATAAATTCAGAAACTTATAGGAAAAAAAACACAAATTCCAAAAGATTGCCAACCGTCCAATCATTCACATGAACATCAAATATAAAAAAAGAAAAATTAATGGAAATCAATAAACAAACCCATGTGGGTAGTTATGAACTAGCTCCTAAAAATTCAACTGAACTAATTTCCCTTCTCAAAATCTGGCACATGAATGAAAAATACCAAATTCTAGAAATTGGGTTAGCTTCAAAATCATATCTTTTTCCAATTAAAATACAGAAAATCAAACTAATTACATGCCATAACTGCAAAAATCCGAAATTTCCCATAAAAAAACTGAAATAAAATAAATACCTGGGTTTCTCTGAGAGCTATTCTCTTGAAAGGTTTCGGCTTCGGATCTTTATGCTGGAAAATATTCACTGTAAAATCAGCTTCGTTATTTAGTTTCCTTTTATCTTTCTTTGTAGTTGGAATAATTTTAAGGGGATGTAGTTTTGGTAGAGCGCTAGAGAGAGAGAGAGAGAGGAGAGAGAGAGAGGAGATCTTTACAAGGCCTTAGGCTTGTTCTCAGAGATTTGTGCATACGTGGCAATGATATTTATCTCTCGCCTAGGGCCGAATGGCACGTCATGTCACATGCATGGATGCCCATCATGCACACATGACATATACACACATACATATTAAAGATATGTCAAATGACGAGGAAAGAGAAGTAATATGAGAAACTTCAAACTAGGACACGCACTGAGGCTTGCCAACTTTACTTTATTGTCAATATAAATATAGAAATATACTTCCAAAGTTAATAATATAGAAATATTTTTTTAAATATACGAGAAATTTCACCTACAAATAATTGTCTCGATACTGCATGAGGCTATAATATATTTTTCATGTCCAAATCAAATGGTGAGTCAATAGAGATCATTGGAAGGGACAATTCTCACGAATGGTCAGAGGGGGCACGTGCCCCCTCAAGTTTTTGGCCTTGAAAAAATAGTGGCCTAAGCATGAATCAGGATCTCGCTTAAATTGTAGCCACCTTTAGTTGCTCAATAGGATGTTGAATCGGACTACGACAAATAATAATCAACTCACCATCACCACTAACTCTATCACTCCCTCCTCATCCAAATCACAATGAGACGGATTGACATAACATAAAGTTTAGTTGTAAGAAGGATCCCTCCTCCAGTACGTCTAATAAATTTGACCTTCTAGTCCTATGCACGTATAATTATCCATTTGTTCATGAAAACAATATTCACTAGAGATATAATCGAAATGGCACAAAGGGTGTGGATGTTAGCTAAGCACAAATGGGTATGGGTTGGCCAAGTCCTTGAAGACATTGGTCACTTAAAATTGAATAAAATTTTGGCAATGCACATACTATTTTTGGGAATTCATAAGGACCTGTATCCATCATTACTTAGTTGTGCCCCTTCCCCCCCCCCCCTAAACATTATTTCTAACTTTGCTCTTGGCCAGTGGCCCTAAAGAGTATCTATGGAAGTTCGTACTCAGGTTTAGGGTTTCAAACATTTGCTCGCTTTCCACTAGACCAACCCTTTTGAATTAGAATTACTGCTATTTGAATGAACATGGAGAATATTTTTTGTTGGCCCGAATACAAGGGACAAGACGAAGTAGGAAATTGGTATCAATACAAAACGCTACAAGAAATTTTTATGTGCATTTAGTATAGAGTAATGTGCCTAAAAATTAGATCTCTAAATTATTTCACTGGACAAATATGTGGATCCTTAGTTTTTAACAAGTTAGCGATGGAAATATTTAGTAATGGTTAGGAAGTGACTTAAAAAGGTTGATTAGCTTGACACTTATTACTAATGAAAATTTCCAAAGACATTTAAACGAGTTCACATTTAAATGATATTGGTGCTAAAAAAAGTAACTCAAACATTCCCAATCTCACTTGCTAAAAAACTAAATCATTCATCCAAATATTATGAAACCTAAGAATCTGAATACAATGAAGAGTCATTCACCAAAAAGCAAGATTCTAAAAAACGCTAAAGAGGGTCAAGTCTTTCGATTACCCTAGCATAGTCGAATACCCTAGTATAGTAGTGGGAAGAAATATTGAATGACTTCATGTTCAACTTGTTTATCAAGAAAATAAATAATGGTTTCATGTTAATTACCTTGTTTTCATTTGTTCTTTCTCACACTGTTATTACCTTTAACAAATATTTGGTTGACCATATTTAAAGTTGCATGCTTTCAACTTTACTCAATGAAGATTAGAGAGTGTTAGTAAAATAAAATCAAATGACTATTTAGTTGATTAGGTATGCATAAAAGAAAATTTTGGTCAATATTAATGCATAAAATTTGGTAGTGGGGTGAGAGAGAACATTTAAGATTCTAAGTATTTGGATTGACTTATGAAAAGTGCAAACCAGTTATCAAATTAGTGCGCAACTTCAACATTTTTTTGGTTCCTACATTCCTATAGGACCAATACCCGATTCATTACATATTTATATGGTAATGCCTCATCAAATGGTAGAGAGATTTTTCAGCGTGTTGATAATCGGGCTTTGCTTACTAAGTGTCATAATACAATTGGTTGGATTTTTTTTAAGTTTCTAATCAATTGTTTTATTACATTTCGTGTACTGATTGTGTTCCCAACACACCAAAAATGCTCCCCAAATGGTGCTCGTTGTTTGCCTTTTAGCCTTTACTCATGCAACTGTCATTTAAATAGCATAAACAGGAGAAAACGACTTTGCAATTTGCATCTCAAGTGACTAAAGCAAGCAATTGGTAAATCCTAAAAAAAGACTAGAATAGAGAGTAATCAATTAATTCTACCTTTTTTGTGTGTATGTTTTAATTTTATAAGTTGATTTGATAACCATTTTATTTTTAACTTCTAATTTTTATTTTTTTATTTTTAACTTATAAATTTTTATTTTTCTGTCACTTTTATACTTCTGTTAATTAATTGACAAGTGTTTTGTTAACTGATGATGTTGTTACGTAGATTTGGCTCACCAAGTATAACATCTCACATCGTCCAGGGGAGTGGATCCTATAAACCTTATATGTATATTCTCATCTCTACCTAGCACTAGGCCTTTTGGGAGCTTACTAACTTTGAGTTCCATCATAACTCCAAAGTTAAGTAAGTTTGCGCGAGAGCAATCCCATGATAGGTGATCATTGGGAAGTTCTCGTATGAGTTTCCAGAAACAAAACCGTGAGGGTGTGGTCAGGGCCTAAAGCGGACAATATCGTGCTACGGCGGAGTTGAACCCATAATCTGGTAGGGGCCCGGGCCGGGATGTGACAATTTGGTATCAGAGCCAATCCTTGGCCAGAAGTGTGCCGACGAGGACGTCAAACCCCTAAACATCCCACATTGCCCAGGGGAGTAGATCATGTAAGCCTTATATGTATATTCTCATTTCTACCTAGCACGAGGCCTTTTGGGAGCTCACTGGCTTCGAGTTCCATCAGAACTCTGAAGTTAAGCAAGTTCGCGAAAGAGCAATCCCATGATGGGTGACCCACTAGGAAGTTCTTCTGTGAGTTCCCAGAAACAAAACTGTGAGGGCGTGGTCGAGGCCCAAAGCGAACAATATTGTGCTAGAGCGGAGTCAAGCTCAGGATGTGGTGAGGGGTCCGGGCAGGGATGTGACACCAAGTGTTTCATGGGGCTTAAATAAATATTAATAACTAAATGAAAAAATAATTATTATGCAAGAGTTTTTTTTTAATAAATAGTTTTTTAATACAACAAAATATTTATATTAGGGGTGAAGAGAATAAATTAATATTCAACTCACTATTTATGAGATTCGAACCTAAAACTTCTGATTTACAATAAAAAGTTATACCACTAAATTTTAGTACTAAGTAACATGTTAGAATTTATGTAGTTCAAATAGTTTGATTGAAGTTAAAAATATTTAATTTCATGAGAAAACTCGGCAACTGAGTTGTGGCCGAGAAAATCAAGTCCTTATGCAGGGATGATTGTGGGTGGGAGCGAGCGGGCAGCGGGGTATGACGGTCTATCAGGCACACAAATACCTTATGGTCGTGGGTGTGGCTGAGCATCGCGCTAAGAGCATATCTGACGAATGGTTTTTAGCCCAGACTAGAAGAAGATTTAGTCCCAAATTGCAAACAAAAGCTTTCTAACGTACCTAATCAGTCTAAAGCTGGTTAGAGCTAAAGGCTCCTTGTGAGCCCAAATTAGCCTTAGGCCTTGCCCAAGAACTTTTATGAGAGCAACTTAGAACAATGCCGGTAGTCAATGAGATAAAGTTGTCTAACGCTTTTTAACCTTTAGCCTCTCTTATCATTTGAAAAAGAAAAATGAAATTTCATGAATGATGTTAGTTTGGAAGGCTATATTTTGTCCTTAGATCATGTTCTTGCCGTTAGACATGCTCTAAGATATTTTCTTGTGCCGCCAGCCAATCAGCGACCAGCCCTAGATACTATACATAAGTTAATAGTACAAGGATCTCGAATATTGTGTTTAAGCGACGTGGCGTAATGGTGTGCCAGCAATATATCTTCCTTCTTCGACTGGTGAGATCTGCCCATCCATCTTCCCCCCAACTTGGCTCGTGATCCGTGTGGGTCCCATCTGACATGTAATTTATGCACGGCCTCTTGCTATTGGTTGCAACCGCCGGGCCCATTTGTCCTTACTCCTTTGGGCTGCTGATCGAAGAATGAATCATATGATAATGGTGAATGTAGATGATGCATGCTATCCCATCGTACCATCATACGTGGTGGCCTTCTATTGGCAGTGTTAAAAGGAGCCGTGTGGACGTCTACGTTGACCGAAATTCCCGTTTGGACAAGAGAAATGCTGACTCTCTTAAAACGGGACCCCCAACGAATTATTTGCTCTATGTATTGGAAAGGGATTCTGTCCGGATTCTTTCCATCAAATCAACCCAATCACTTAATTTTGATACTTGAAATTTGATCTAACGATTCAATTTATTATAATTTTTAAAGAGTTCCATGTTTGTAGCCGTTTGATCAAATTTTAAAGGTCTGAATTGATTGATTTAGTGGATTTAGGAGTGTATTCAATTGAGATTTTGAAGGATTTTAATTCTTTTAATGAATCTAGGGGCATTCAATCAGGATTTTAAGTGATTCTTTGAAATTCAAGGTATATTCAATTAGAATTTTAAGATATTTTATTAAAACCCTTATAAATCCAAGTGTATTAAATTAGGATTTTAAAGAAGTTTATAACATTCCAGGTATATTCAATTAGAAATTAATTTTAAAGAATTTGAGAAAGTTGAGGAATTAGAGGGAATTTTAGAGATTTCGTAGTATATTTTAAGCATTCACAAATCTCACCTCTCTTCATGAGATTTCGAGAGAATTGAATCAAAATTTTGCATGGAATCTCTATAAATCAATTAAACTCCATAAAAATCCATGAATTTATAAATCCATTCAAATCTCTCAAATTCTCAATTGAATACACCCTTTTAGTGGAAGGAATCCAAAGAGGATATCTTTTCCTATATATTATTGACACAATATTTTATG